CCCTCTGCCTCGCGCACCCCTGCCCAGGGCGCAGCGCTGGCCAGGGCGGGGACGGCCGACCCTGGACCCAGAGCCGGGAGCGGTGGCCCTGGTGATGGAGGCCTCCCGGCCTGGTGGCTGCAGCTTCCCCTCCCCAGGGCCCGCTCGGGCTTCCCCTTCCAGACACCAGGGCCTTCCCGGAAGCCACATGGGCCCTGGGCGCTGGGGGACAGGGACTGCCCGAGCCCTGCGCCCGGAGGGCGGAGAGACCTGCGTGTGCAGACACACACCCCCCTCCTCCCCACCCCACGCCGGGCCGGAAGCCACCCAGAATAGAAAGGGCCCTTTCAATGAAAGTCTCAAATTGGGCCTAGGGGCTGGGGGCGGGGTGTTTAGATATAAAAATAGACCCACTGCGAGTGCGTGGGCCCTGCATCCTCCACCGTGGGTGTTGTTTTAAAATAGATCTTCCCACAGGGCCTGCCTGACACAGCTCTCCTGTGCAGGAGTTCAACCCAGGCCAGCCTCCCAGAGAGGCGGCAGCTGACCAGACCTGGGGTGCAGCCCCCTGGGCCCGCGCGGGGGCCGGAGGGAGGGGCAGGGCTGTGCGCTGCGGTGGCCTCCCTGCCCGAGGTCCTCTTCTGCCCTCCGGGGCTTTGCACAGGCCAGCAGAGCCTTCCAAGCCACCAGGTCTCCAGCTGTGGTCCCCAGAAGGCACGCTCTGACCTTACTCCTGAAGCCCGTTTGCAGGCCGGCCGAGCAGGGAGCCCAGCCGCGGGGCCCTGGCCTGCGCTGGCCTCGACTGACCGCAGGGTGGAAGCGGGCAGCAGAGGAGAAGCCCACAGCCTGGGGCCGCCCCGGGGGTGGCCAGACGGTGCTGGGAACACAGAGCTGACCTTTGGGGCCCAGCCCCCAGGAAACCCAGCGGGGGGTGGCCTGAGACGCCCAGCCAGTCCCATGCAGCAGCGGGTGGAGCGGGGAGGGAGGGCCGTGGGCACCTGAGCAGCCCGGTGGGGGAAGGTGGGGCGTATCCTGCATTCCCGGGCAGTGGCCCCGAGCTGGCCCTCCCCACAGGAACGGGGGCAGAGGGGGCCAGCCACCAGCCCGGCCCAGCGCACAGGCGTCCAGGGAGCCCACCCCACTGCCCGCTGCTGTCCCCTTGGTTCCAGCCAAAGAAGAACGTCCCCACCTCCCACTCGAGCCAGGCAGTGCGCGCGGGGTGGGGGGCTAGGCCTGGCCGTCGGCGTTGCCCGGAGCCCAGCCCGTGCTCCTGCGGGAGCCCACCGGTCCCCGGAGCCCCGGAAGAGGCTCCAGCAGCACCCTGTCCTCAGAGCCTGCAGCAGCCCAGCAGCCAGCCACCGCCCCCAGCCCAGACTCACTTCCCCTCCCCAGCCGGAGGGCTGAGTGGCCAGAGGCCCCGCCCCAGGCTGCGGGTTGCAGGAGGCGGCCCCCTGGAGGAGACTGGGAGGGTGGGAGCTCAGTCGGCATGGCCTTGGCCCTGCCCAGGAACAGGCCGGCCAAGGGTCCTGAGCTGCTCCCCCCAGATCCCCCAGCCAGTCTGACCCTGTGGCCACTTCGGGGGTGTTGCTTCCAGGGCCCTGTGGACACAGGGTCCCAGCCGGCAGCTCTGCCGGAGCCGGCCTTGTCCTTGGGGCTGCCCCTCGGGGTCTCGCCTGTTCGTTCACCAGACGTTTGTTGAGCGTCCGGTCTGTGCCCGGCACTGAGGCCTTGGGAGGCAGCGGGGACTCCTGACCTCGGAGACGACCTTCGGGGGGGTGGGGCCTGACCAGAGCCAAGGCAAGTGCACAGGGGTCCAGAGGAGGCCGGGGAGGGAGGGACCACAGGCCTGCGGCAGGGGAGCGAGCACTGTGCCCAAGGTGGCGTGGCGGTGACCCACCCTGCAACCTGGAGAGGCATGACCCAGGGGGCGGCGTGTGCCAAGGTCTAACCGGGGGGGGGGGGCCTGCCAGGCGCGCCGGAGGAGCTGCGGGGAGGCTGGCCTGCTGACCACGGAACGGGAGCTGCGGATACTGCAGGTGTGTGCCCTGGAGAGGACCCAGAGCGGGGAAGTGACGTGTTGGGACTGGCACTGTGACCAGCTCCCTCTGGGGCGGCCACAGACATGGACAGGCAGGGGGCAGGGGGAGTGGAGAGCAGGTGGGAGGCGGGGTGGGCGTGGGCCGTGGAGGCGCGGGATTCCAGGTGTGCTGCGCAGGGCGCGCCTCTAGGCCTTCTAGACAGACAGCACTCTGGCCCCAGAATGGCCCTGAGGTTGCCAGCTGAAGTCTGGGGACGTGCGGGGCTGGCTGTCGGTCGTGGTCAGCCTGTGATGTTCAGAGACGCCCGTGGCGAGACAGCGGGCCTCGCCTCCAGCCTGTGTCGCTGTTTGCAGGCCCTGCCCCACCCCTGGGCTGCAGCTGCCCCTGGCTCTTCTGGGCTCTGGCGCAGCCAGGCCTCCGCTCCTGACGGCGTGCGGGGATGGGCCTGCCCTTCGGCCGTCACCCCGGGAGTGTGGCTGGGTGCCATCTTCGTGCCTTTAACGTGGACGCACCCGCCTGAGGCCGTCCGCTGCTCCGCCCCGGGCAGCCGGGTGGCCTTGCTCGCCTCTGCCCACCTGCGGCGCAGGGCTGCCGGGACACCCTCCCCATCTGGGTGACCCCCCTTCCCGCCCACACCTGTCCCTGTCCGAGCACCCCCCCCCCCGCCTCTGCCTCCTGCAGTCTCTGGTCCCACAGGGGCTCAGAGCCGCCCTGTATTCCCGACCGGGGCCCCCACCCCGCAGGGCTTGGAGCCAAACTGGCGAGGCTGGGCCGGAGCCGTGTGAACTGCTGGGTTCTAGGCTCCTGTTTGGCCAAGGCGGTGCTCCTGGGGTCTGTTCTCTGCAGCCTGTCCAAGGGGCCCCGGGGGCACGGCCTCTGAGTCCTGGTCTGCGGTCTGTTCCGCTGAGCCCACAGCCTTTGCCCGTCTGCCACCCCAGGGTCAGGATCCGGCGGGAGGCCCTGGTTTCCAGCTTTGCTCCACTCTGTTGCAGGTCTCTGTCCCTCTCCCCATCCACTGGCTCCAGGGAAGGGTCACTCACAGTGACAGAGATGGCGCCTGCTCATGCGTCCATCGGCTCCCTCCCGTGAGGTGCGAGGGCTGGGTGTCCCCCACCCCCAAGGCCACTGCACCCTGCTCGGAGCCGGCGGCGCTTGGTCTGCGAGCCGGATGCTGCGGAGCACGTGTGCTGGCCCGGTGGCAGCCGGCCCCCGCTCAGGCCCCGGCCCAGGTGTTCCGATGGGGGCTGCCGTCCGGGGGTGCTCACGGTGGCTGGGCCTTGTGAGCTGGGCTTGTGAGCTGGGAGGGGCAGGATTTCAGGGTCTCGGGGGCCCAAGTCCAGCCTGGAGAGCCGGGCGAGGCTGCGAGGGGACGGAGTCACAGAGGGGGGCCGGGGTGGGGGCGGCCTGGGCCAGGCAGGGCGAGTGTCTGCCAACCCCGGGGGCCACCCGGCTGGGGTGTGGGGTGCCAGGCGCTCTGCTGGCTCCCATGCTCCCCCTGACTGTCCCTGCCAACTCTACAGCAGATGGGACCCCTCGCTTTACAAATGGGGAAACCGAGGCCCAGTTGGCTGAAGACTCCCTTGCAGTCTCGCCCACCTGCACCCGCCTTTCCCCTGGCTCGGCCCCTCCCCCCCAGACCGCAGGGTGGTCCTGGTCCTGGCCTCCTCCTGGGGGCCCAGAGCCGGGCCAGGGACCTCCTGGCCTCTCTCATTGCCCCCACCCTGGTTAATTTCTCTCACCCCCGTGTGCCTCAGCGGGGCCGTGCAGGGTTGCAGGCGGGTTCCCCTTCCTGGGGACTGGGGCCCGCGGCTGGGCAGTTCTGGGACAGTGACTGGCCCGAGCTCATCACGGCCTGGCCACGTCTCCTCGAGGCCCTTAGGGACCTTGGCTCCAGCCTGACCCGAACCCAGCCCCTGAGTCCCTCCTGCCCCTGTCTGGTTCAGAACAGCCAGCCCTGCTGGACTCCGGCCCCTCATGCCGAGCGCACACAGAGGGCTGACCTTGGCCTCGCGGCTGAACAGGGCTCAGCACTGGCTGGGCTGGCCTTCCCTCCCCGCAGCCCCTTCAGGCTCCCCGGCCCGGAGTCTGCCCTCTCCCGGCTGGCGGCTTCCTGAGCCCTGGGACCGGGCAGGGGGGCGGGGCGCGAGGGAGAACGTTGAATGTCCACCTCCCCTCATGCCCCAGGCAGTGGGTCCCCGTTCCTGAGAGGCTCCTGTCTCCATAGAGCGCCTCCCCTCCACCTCCTCTGACGTCATGATCTGGCCCTTAGGGTGCCTCCCAGAGAGCCATTGCCGCGCCCGCCCGAAGCCCCTCCGCCTCTACCCCTGCCCTGTAAACAAGGTCCTCTAAGTCTAAGCTGGGCCTGTGTGCCCACTCCCCACCCCCAGGACCGTAGGGCGGGGCCTTGTTGATGGGAGCCTCCCAGAAGGCACGGCGTCAAGTTTCCTGTTTTCTGGGACCCACAAGTCCCAGACCCCTGGGCCATGGAGTCCGCGCCTGGTCCGAGGGCTGGAGGGCTGGAAAGTGCCTGCGAGGGATCCAGGGGTTCGGCTCCCAGCAAAGCCCGCTCCCTCAGAAGGGGCGCGTCCCGGGCTCCAGGCAGGGGTGGGGAAGGGGCAGACTCAGCCGCCCCCGCAGCATGAGGGTCCCGGGGCCGGGAGTCCCGGGGCGGGGCACGCATAAAGGACAGACACTTTCGTGGGCGCTCCCCTGCATTTACTGAGCACCTACTGTGTGCCGTGCAAGGACAGCGTATCCACCGTCCCTGGGAGCGGGGGTGAGCCGAGGCTGGGGTCCCTGCGCCCTAGGGCCGGCACCCACCCTCAGACCGCCAGTACCGCGAGCAGCGCACTGGCCCCGGGCGCCGGCCGGGCGTCTGCGGGGCCTGGGGGGCGGGGCCAGGCGGGGCGCGGGCGGGACCAGGCGGGGGCGGGGCCGCGCGGGATGCAGCTTCTGGCGGCCGAGCCGGGAGCCGCCGCCAGGACCCAGAGCCCGCGGGCCGGGAGCGGAGCCACGGCGGGTAAGGCGCGGGCGGGCGGGGCGCGGTCCTCGCGGTGGGGCAGGCTGGGGGCGGTCGGCGCGGGCCGGGGCGCCCCTGCCCGAGGAAGCGCGTGGGTGCGGGGTGCGCCCCGGACGCCTAGGCGTGGGGGGCGTGGGGGGCGTGGGGGGCGGTGGGGTCGAGCCGTCCGGCGCCGCTGTCGTCCTCTGAGCCCCGCTGCGCCAAGCCCCTGGGGCCCGAAGGGCGCCGCAGGCCCAGTGCGCGGCCCACCTGTGGCGCCTCCGAAGTCTCAGGCTGGGACTCGGCTCCTCGCCGCCCCGGGCAGCCCCGGCTGCTCTTCCCTCGCCCGCGCAGCGGGGCCGCCGCGGGCGCTGGTTCACACTCAAGTGTGAGTGACTGAGAGCCCGTGGCTCGGGGGCTCCCGCCACTCCTCTCCCGAGGGACAGTGGCGTGGCAGAGAGGGTGGCAGAGCTGGGGGTTGGGGACAGCCTTCCACTCGCGTCTCCGGCCCCTCCCAGCAGCCCAGCTCCTTCCTGCTGCTCTGGGCCTGGGCTTCCTTCCACGGCGGGCGGTCGTGGTCCGCCCCCCCCCCCGGGGGTGGCAGAGGGCCTGGGCGCTGCCGCCAGCCGGAGCTGCCCCGCCGCTGGCAGCGTGACCCGGGCCGCGGCCTCTCCCCGCCCCTGGCTCTGCCAGTCAGGACTGACGATGCCCCCGCCTGCGGGTGGACGGCCCTGCCGAGTGCCCATGTGGTCTTGCCGCTGAGATGTGGGACCCCGCCCAGCACGGTCGGGGCTCTAGGAAGCCTACCTGCCCTGGCGGTGATGGTGGAATGTGTAGAGGTCTGCGGCTTCTCAGTCTGAGGGCTGAGGGGACAGAGCAAATCCTGGAGTGGGAGCAGGAGTCCAGGTCAAATCCAGTCCGGCTCTGACTCCGTGCGACCCTGGGTCAGTCCCCTGCTTTCTCTGGCCTAGGCTCTGCAAGACCAGAGAAGGGGGCTGGGCGCCACCTCCTGTGTCTCCCCCAACTGTGTCCGTCCCCCCGGACACCCATGCAGGGGAACCCCGGAGCCAGGCCTCGCTCCAGGTGGGCCTGTGCGGGGCTCCGAGGAGCGAGGGCTCTGTCAGCCCCCTTCCCTGTCCCTCGCCTCTGTGCTTGGCGCCGGAGCACGCCTGGGCTGAGGGGGTAGGCCAGCCGTCTGGAAAAAGGGGTGCTGACTGAGGGCCTGGCCTTTTGGGGGAGCCCCTCAGGCCTGCAGAGTGGGAGGAGCCAGCAAGGAGGCTGGCCTGGGACAGAGGAGCACGGCCGGGCTCCAGGTCCTCTGTGGCCCTTACTGTTCGCAGGGACAGAGGAGGGTGGGCGCTGAGGCGGCCCTGCCACCCCTGTCCACGCGGAGGCGCGTGCACACTCACACGCACATACATGCACACGTGCACCCACAGACGGGAAGCCTGAGGGGCACGGAGGGACGACGCGGCCCCGCCATGGGCCCAGAGTCCCTGGGCCTGAGTCTGGCTGCACCTTTTACGAGCCAGTGGCCTTGGGCAGGAGGCTTCATGCTGCTTCCCTCCCCCTGTGAGGGGCTAGTGAGCCACTTGCTGCCTGTCAGGCTGTGACTGTCAGGGTGGAGGGTCACTGAGCCCCGGGGCTGCTTTCCCTCAGGCCTGAACAGCAGGGACAGCGGCCACTGCTGCTGGGGGTGGGGGTGGGGCCGGGGCAAAGGGCAGGCTCCCAAGTCCCCTCCCACTCGGGTGTCTCGGCGGAGGCCTGAATCCACCAGGGGCGGCTGGGTTTGGGCAGCCACCTGGCTCCTCCCGGCTGCTGTCCTGGAAGCTCTGCAGGGGGTCACCATAGGTCCGCGACGGCTCCCCTCACGCACGCAGGACGCCTTGTGCGCCAGGACCGGGGCCGGGCCACCGGGGTGGGCGTGCTGTGGGGCAGAGGGCACAGCCTGCTGGCGGATGGGTGCCCACAGGTGGCCGCTCAGCCTGTCCGGCCCGCCCTGCCCTTCTCTCCTGCAGAGCACCTCAACAAAAGGCCCAAGTGTCTGCGCTCGGGGCGCTGTCGCGGGCCTCCCCTGAGCGGGTGGTTACCTGTCTGGCTCCCCCGCCCTGAAGGACAGGGCCACAGCTGAGTGCCCGGCGGAGCCCTCATGGCCTGGCCCGGAGAGCAGGGCAGGGGGCGGCTCTCTTGGCGGGAAGGCCACTGGAGCATCCAGAAACTTCTGCAGACCTGAACTACAGGCAGACAGGCACCGGGCAGGCAGGGCTCTGCAGGCTGGGGCAGGGCCTGCGGCCGGCGCTCTTTGAAGTTGGCCTGCTGCTCCCACCTCGCCCGCCGCCCGCCCATGGCCCGTGTTTGACACTCGCTCAGCTTTGGAGACAAACGCCCTCCTCCTCCTGGGAGGCCCTGCCGTGGGGCTGGCGGTCTGGGGTCAGGGAACAGTGGGCCCCTGTGCCGCGCAGCCTTGCTCGTAACTCTCCGGTTTCCATGCCAGCCCTCCACCCCCTCACCGCCCTGCCCGGGCCATGGGCTCCAGCTGCCAGACAGGCCACCAGCTGCTGCCCCGAGGCCCAGAGGCCCCAGGGGCTGTGCAGATGGGGAGGCGGAGGCCCTGCCAGGCGTCCTCAAGTTCCCTCTTGAACGGAAGCAGGCCTTTCTCTGCTCCTTGCTGGAGACTTGTGTTGGGGCCAAGGCTGGGGTCTGCCTGTGCTCCCCGAGCCGCACGTGGCTCTGGGACTGGGTCTCAGGGAGCCGGTCCCTGAGGGGGGCCAGGCAGGCCAGGTCTGCAGCCCTTAGGAGAGTGGTAGGGAAGGACCCCAAAAAGCGGGCCTGGAGCCCTGCGTAGTCAGGGGCAGGAGCACAGCCTGCAGGACCCGGGAGAGGGCCGTGCCGGGAAACCCAGCGCTCACCTGGTCTCCGCGGAAGGTCCCTCCTCCACCGCAGCCATGCCCTCTCCTCCCATCTGGGGCCGGAAGGGGCCGGTGCTGCTGAAGGCCAGTGGTTGCTGCGTGGGTGTGGCCACGGTGGGCAGGGGGTGGACTAGCGCTGCCTCCGCCCCTCCCCACGGAGGTGCCATCACCGTGGTAGGACCCGGTGGCTGTCCGGTGCTGGGCAGGCGATGTGGCAGTGACCGGCCAGGGGCGGGAGGCAGCAGAGGACCCTGGGGACCCTGCAGGCAGCGTCAGGCCACCAAGGCCTCCCTGCACACCCCCAGCCCTTGTCGGAGCGGATGGGGCTGCAGCTCAGAGCCCCAGCCTCCCCCCACGCTGCGCCCGCCTGTCTCAGGACCCGTCTGTGCCGTAACCCCCACCCCCGCCTCCCCCCTTATCTCCTGCCTTGTCCCAGGTCCCACCCAGCAGGGGGACGGGAAGGAGCACGCTACTCTGGGGCCTGGCTTGGCCGCCTGGGACCCGCAGTGCTGGCCACCTAGGTGAGGGGCCCAGCCAGCACTCAGCCCCGGTGGCCCTGCTGCCCGCGTGCTGTGCTGTGGGTGAGGGTGGAGCCCTCTCTGAGTCCCTCAGGTGGCCCCGGGGCCCGCGGCGAGGGGTCTCTGAGGCCAGCCTCCCCATTCTCTTGAGAAGGGACCAGGAGCACGACCTGCGGTGATCGGTGACGGTGATGGTGACGGCTGTGACCTTTGGGGGCAGGACGTCCTGGGAGAAGGAAGAGGATTGAGAAGGAGGACCCCCACCTCCCAGGGAGGATCTGGGAGCATCTGGGAGGACCTGACCCAAGCCAGGGTTGCTGCCAGCCGCTGCCGGGGGTCGGGACAGCAGGCCCAGGCTGGGGTCTCGGGAAGCTGGAGGAGAGACGGCCCCGCTCGGGGTCCACCGTGTGGACCCACTCACCCCTCGCAGACCTGCCCGCGTCCGGCAGGCAGCACCCAAGGGTGGTGCAGGAGGTGTGGCGAGGGACCTGAGGGGGGGCCTCCCAGGGGGCAGGCAGCGGGCAGGGCGGCCAGACCGAGGCCCCGAGGCCGCAGTGCGCTCATGCGCGGCGCTGCAGGACAGGCAGCAGAGGCCGGAGGGCACTGGCGGAGGGGCCCACGCCGGGAGGCTTTCGAGCGGCAGCTGGATCATTTTCAGAGCTCCGTGTGGGGTCTGAGGTCCCCTCCGCAGCAGCAGGGAACAGGTGGCGTGGGCGGGACCCTAGGCGGGCTGGATGTGGGGGGCAGCGGTCCCCTGGCCCCGGGCCCACGGGGGCCACTGGGCCGGGCGCAGAGCAGGCGAGGCAGGAACAGGGCCTGGGGGGCTGGCTTGGCCCCCTGTGGTCTTCTTTGCTGGCTTTTCCGGACAACAGTGCTGTGGGCCCGTGGCTGCCTCCCTGGGACGGGGGATGTCCCTACGGCGCCCACTGAGCTGTGCCTCCTCCCCGCCCAGTGCAGGCTGCCCCACCCTGCACTGCGTCCCCACCCAACACTGCGCCCCTCCCAGGAGGAGGCCTGAGGACGGGAGGCCCCCAGGAGCCGCCTGCTCCTGGGCGCCTGTGAGGCCAGCTGCTGGGTGAGAGCATTTGCCCTGTTTGTGGTGGCCCATGGTGGCCCTCCCGCCGCCGGCAGGGCCAGGCAGCTGCTTTGCCGGGGGATCCAGCAATCTAAGGCCCCCGTGCTTGGGTGGGGCAGGGGTGCTGGGCGAGCAGGAGGGCCTGGGCCTCGGGGCGCGCGCAGGTCCGAGACTGCTGACGGGGGCAGTCTGCCCTTCGAGGGGGCCTGGCCCGTGGGGATGAGGCTCCTGTCCAGCTCTGAACTGGGCGCTGCGATCCCCTGAACCTCCTGGGGACCCCTGAGGGACCGATCCCTGGCCTCGCTGCAGGGCTTCAGCCGGCACCTGGGGAGACCGGAGCTGGGCTGGGACCAGGCAGGAGCTCGCGGGGCGGGGACGGTAGGAGGGGGTCAGGAAAGGGCGCGAGGCCTCCAGCGTGGCTGGACACCCACCAGAGGGGGCTTTGAGCGTGAGACCGAGCACAGTCACTGTTGAGAGTCACTTCCTCCATGTCTGGGCAAGCGGGGCAGGTCTGAGCAA